GGGGGGTAAATGTTAGGTTTGGGTTAGGCGTCAAAAAGATAACCTTTCCAAAAAATTTAGGTTGGGTTAGGCGCCTAAAAGATACCCTTTTGAAAAAATTAGGTTTGGGTTAGCATCCCTGAAGAAAATGGCGGACCGCGAGGATGGGGCATTCATACTACTCGTGGGCCATTTAAAATACTATTACAGTAAAATGAATGCAGTACACATCACTGAAGGATGATTTACAGTTCACTTGTCTTAAAAATGAATCGCAGTTCAGACAGAATCCATTTAATAACTGGAACAGCAAAAGACCTACCCAAAAAAATACAACGCCAATAATATTTTTTGGTGCTGAAAGAAAGATTAATGTAATGACCAATAATAATATTCTATGGTACTGAAAAAGCGATTAATGTAAAATTGAAGAAGACCATTGATAATGCTTCATGTCCACTTGAAATCTACTATGTCATAGGAACCTTTCCCATCTGCTCTCTCCCTAGAAGTAATTTTGTAGACACCATATCGTGGACATTAGTTAAGATGAATTTAAGATTGACAATATTCATGTGTAAATTACCTACATAAAGCTATAGCTAAGTGGGGTCAGCCAAATGACATATTTCCATTTTTTTATGGTACTATAATAACAAGTGTTGTGCACATGTGAAAATAAAAAGTTTGTACACAAATGCAAACAACTGTCACTCAATGAAGAAAATTGCCTACTTGTCAGAAAAGATGGGGACAAGGTTTGATAATATATCCACTATTACCGGGACACACCAACCTTTCGCTAGAAGTGAAATCCTTGCCGTTATGCTTAAATTAGCATCTGTGTAATGGGGCTCCAAACCTGTTAACGAAAAAGCCAACTTGTCAGCTGTGGATGGTAAGGCGAATTTACAACAACCAGTGACGTGCTTGCCTTGCAGTCGCTCGTAATCCGTTGGGCTCAGAAATTCCCTAGCTGAAGCATACTTTGCATAATTGCCACTTCTGTTTGAAGTGAGAGTACGGGCCTGTGAGGTGACAGCGGTCTTGTTACGATCAATGAAGTCTTGAAGTTCCCACCGCGGTTGTTTCACAACCACTTCACTGTGTAAGCCGGGAATGTTTCCCCAAAAGTAACGCTGTCTGGTGACTGGCAGGAAGGCAGAAGCACAGCGCTTTGTTGGGACACCCATGTCACTGTGACAGTATACAATGATTGAAACATTGGTAAGAAAGGTGTTATAGCCATAGGAGGAATTTTCATAACTGGCATACCTTGTCATTTGGTGAAGCGTGCTCGAATCAAGGTGGCATGTATTTTCGAAAAGCCAGCGCATTGTGTGATTCTGATTTTCATATTTAACTTGCAAATATTTCAGAATCCTGTAAAATTCATAATAGAGGACACCTGTACCACCATTCAGGCCAGCGCGTTTTGGGTTGACCTATGAGCACAGACATTGATATTAGGTATTCCGAATCAATAACAAAAAGAAATAGTCATAGTACGTTACCCTCGAAAGATCGTTACAGGGAGAAGATCCAAGTAGGAGGTCAATGTTACCAAGGCGGTCAATGACTTCTGCTGTAACGTGCCTCACATCTCCTAGGCGGATCACATTAGGATGGCGTAAGCTTTGGACCCTGGAACATGTAATTTGGGATTTTGTACATCACTGCGTAATTGATAGTAATTATCAGGTCAATTGAAAAGTCCTGCGCCATAATTTAAAAGTGCATAATACACCTTAGGGCATTTGGGCAAATTTCGCTTGTAAAGTAACGCAGGATTGGAATCCCAAGTTGGTTCAGAGCAACATGGCCGCTAGAAATTCCATCAAACAGAGATAACACAGTGATGGGCCGGCATTTACTCCCCGGAAGGGAGACTTCCCTCTCAAAACCAAAGAAAGGGTCATGGACACCTGTTGGCCAACCTGACTGTCCGACCTGCTCTTCAGTCAATTGTGTTGTGTGCTCAGCAGCAGAGACTTCCCCGTGGGAGGCTTCCTCATGAGCCACCATGTCTCGGCCTTGCACACGCCTAATGACCTTGTTCTTACCATAATAGCGCTTTCCCTTGGGAGCCTGTGATAAAAAGAAAAGGGGGAGGGAATGTCAAATACGGCACACATAACTCACACAGTCAGGCTAATTAAAATAAGTCATACCTTTGTTAAATATCTTCTCACGCCACGCTTGTACTTTGGCATTTCGTGTCACGTTCTATTACGTGACCTGCTGCAGGAGAGCGCTGTAGGATGGGGCGCGGCTGTGCGGCCGTGGTTCGCCATGTGGCCGGCAGGGTGCGGCACGACGTGTGGGAGCACTGGAGCATGGGGTATCTACAGGCTGGCCACAGCGAGAGGGGGTGGGGGCGCCACGCCGGGCCACGCCATGATGGTACGCACAGCGCAGCTGCAGCTGACATCGGCGAGCACACTCTGCCCGGGAACCATCACTCGTGTCTGCCACAGTTGCCCGAAAGTAAGGCAGCCCGCAGCACGCACTGCGAATTTGCCGCGAGTTATGTTACCGCATTACGGCGCGGAACCCGCCGGCAGGGAGAGGGCGGAATGAGTCAGAAAAGAGTCCGCTAGGAATCCGCGCGGCGGACAACGCGCGTAGGGCGGGGGCGGGGGTCGCCCATAACACGAGCAGCAGCGCTGCGCCAGGCCCACCCCACGCACGGCCCGCACGGGGCGCGCTCACAGAGCTCACTGTTGTTCTGCGCGGCGGAACCGTAGCGGACTACGCCGGCTAGGCCGTCCTCAGCGCGGAGTACAGGCGGGGTGCGCCTAAATGGCCCGCTACCACTCCTCTCTACCGCATCGCGGGCAGAGACCGCTCGGCGTACGTGTCAACCGCGTGGTGCATGCGAGCCCCGCGACACTGATTCGTGCCGAGCGCAGTTTGGGCGGATTGCCGATTGCCGTGGGTGTCCGCCGTGGACTGAAGTATTCTACTAGGGGAGCGGGGCTTTCCAGGATGTCTTTTACCTGCTAGAGTGATGAGTCGCCTCTACTGCCCGGTCTGTTTACCAAGTGCAATGTTCAGGGAAAAACATACTATGAAGGACTGTTTACTATAAAAGAGACAGCAGTAGTTTTGCAAACTGACCGCACAAATGTACTGTACAGCCGAGAGCAGTCATTACAATTCTTTTTAACCTTACATTTTTTGCATATGGAATGTAACGCGGACTGAATTCAAGAAGTGCAATTGAATGACCGAATCAGATTGCCAATTTATCTGCTTTAAAACTACAGCAACAACTCAATATACCAATTACATTCCGGGGTGCAATCTCAAGTGTAGTTGCGAGAGCAGTAAAAGTGTGTGTTATTTATATTTCTTACTGTTATTTGAGCATGTAGTCGTGATTATAAACAGCATTGCAGTTAAAATTCAAAAATAACTATAGTTTCGCAACTATAGTTAGGCAAGTACAGTTTCGAATGGATTTTTTTCTGTACTCCTTTCCACCCGGGATGGATTGCATGAGCAGGCAGTCGTAATACGGTATTCCACTGGAGCGGGCCTAAATGCAGGCCCTTGCGGTATTGGCCATAGCTCCGGAAGTACTTGAGCTATGTGGACGGGGTGGGTGTCAAAATGTTCGGAAACTAACGGTGAACAAGCCCTTACCAATACTAAGCGAGCGCAATGTGTATTTCTAGCTAAAATCTTGAGTCAAACAGAAAATTTTCATTTTGACTTCTTCAATTTTAAAAATCTCACGTAGTGCGTTCGCTACTCATATTAAAGGAATACTTATTTTTAACGAATGTCTTTCAAAAATGTTTTCCAAAGCTCCTCTCTATCACTGGGCACACACTGGGTTGACAGTTGTTAGTCTATTTTTGACGGGGGCAGTGATGGTATTGGTGGTTACAAATGAGACAAAAGTTTCAAGCAACTAAACAACAGATTTATTTTGTTTCATGACTACACACTTAGTTACCATAACAATTAGGTTCTGATACTGCCACTGCAGTCTTCATGCTAACATTGGAACTGGAGACCCCAGGATGACCCCAGGATGACCCTGGTGGTACAAACGGACACCGAAATGGACTCGGCACACTCGGAAACCCGAATGTACAAATTTTGGTGAGGGGCGTCATCGGCGACCTCCCGACGTCCCCGACGACGACCCCAGGATGACCTTGGTGGTGTAAACGGACACCGGGAATGGACTCGGCACACTCGGAAACCCGGATGCACAAATTTTCGTGAGGGGCGTCATCAGCGATCTGTCGAGGTCCCCGACGACGACCCCAGGATGACCCTGGTAGTGCAAACGGACACCGGAAATGGACTTCTGCATACTCGAAAACCCCCCTGCACGAGTTCATGTGAAAATCCCTCGCCTCTTATCGAGACCTGGTCTTGATCAATCTGGATCGACCCAAAATCAGCAAATATTGACTTTGCGGTGCGATATTTCCTGAACGGATTGACCGATCAACCCCGTTCTGAGGTCACCAGATATATCTATCTTTCCTCCACATTTCTGTGTATAGAAAAGTAAATTCCTATGAAAATTACGGCCACCATCGAAAATAACCAAAACGGCTTAATTTTTCTTACGATTTTTTTATAAATGCAATATCTGTCGAGCTGTTTGTCCTAAAAATCTTTCGATTTTTTGTGTGATAGGTCTTGTCGAGATCTACCATTCGGCGTTGAGTAAATTGAATTCGGACAAAAACTGCGATCGTAATCGAAAAAGTCCATTTTGGCTGTTTTTCTATCAAAAAAATTGACTTTGAGGCCCGATTGCTTCTGAACAAAAGGTCCTATCGACCTCCGCGAAAAACCATCTTGTAGATCTCTTACTTGACTTGAAATCTGTGTCACGCAAACTGTGATCGGACCAAAAGTACGGTTTTGCGAAGGAAAAAACAATTTTAGGCAAAAGTCCCAAATTAGTCCAAATGCAGCTCTTCAAACCTCTGCCAAATCCAGAGTTTTCGACCCACAGCCCCGGGACAAAGCTTTTTAAGGTTGTTAGAACAAAAGGCAAAAAATATATTTTTTGGACATAAATCCGAATTTTTGAAATTCCCGGGTGCGCGGTCTTAGTTGGAACGCCCCTCAAAGAAATGATGGTCATCACGAATTTAAGCAATGAATTTAATTGTGTACTTTTTCTGCGATGACCATCACAACATCGTGCTATATTTCTGTATCACAGAAAACGTGCAGACCAAATCACACTCTGATTTACAGTAAACAGGGGCCATCGATATTTTTCGCCAGGATTTTTGGCTTCCCGCTCTCTTTCCGCTAACAGCAGGAAGGGCGATACTCTTCATTTGCATGACGATACGATAATGAGTTGTGTCAGTGGTTCTGCCAGCTGACCCACAATGCGGGCACATTCTCAAAGCGCCCTTCATTGTGAGTAGCGTTGTCGCTTGTGGGTTTGAAGTCAGCGGTGCTGATCGTGAAGCATTTTGTTATTATTGATATCAGAGTAAGTCTAAATCACCAATTTTGATCGCGCCCCATCCTTCAGCTCCGAAAAGCCCGCACAGCATATGCGAGACGTCTTAAGCTAGCCACACGAATGATGTAGCTGAATGTTTGCTGTCCAGGCAGTAGCGAATTTTTCAGCTCGTGAAGCTTAACTTTCGCTGTTGGAGTTGCATCACTGTTAATCAGACACTGATTCCACGTTTGTCGTGATACAGAAATATTGCACAATGTTGTGATGATTATCGCTGAAAAAATACAACATTACATTCATTTCTTGAATTTGTGATGACTATCACTTATTTGAGCGATACTTCTAAGGAATCATAGTTTTCTGCAATGTGCACCACACCGTTTTGCGTCATTCCGGGATCATCGCATTATTTTGCAATAAGTGCATACATATTTCGTGATAAAAATTCGTCACTCTTTAAGGCGTGATAAATCATGGGAATCACACAGGGCATTTCATCACACGAAAATGTGTGAAAAGTATCACACTTTGTATTACACTGATATTACCTGCCAGAACTACTGGCTTCCGGGTAACAGCTTACCCTGCGTGATCTGAGCTATGTATTACGTCATGATGACGCATCTCTCATCGAATCCATGACTACCGCAGCAAATGTTTACCTGCGACAGCTTGAAACTTAGTGCCTGGGTAGCTAAAAGAGCCCCGTAAAGAGCGAGCTACGCGAGCTAAATGCCTACCCCGACTCCCCTCTCACCTGTCGAAGAAGGGGTCTAGCTCGCGTAGCTCGCTCTTTGCAGGGCTCTAGCAGCTAACATATAAGCTGTCACAGCTAATCAGAAGCAAGTCGAACTACACTTTTTAAATATATTTTGTGATTTCCCAACATTTTCACGAAACGAAACAACTGTGAAATCAGAACACTTCTTTGCAGTAACAAATAGTGCATTTTGCTATTTGACTTGGAAATAGTTGTAAACCAATCGTAATTGTTTCTGATGTAAATACATTTTGGTCAACGTAAAAGAGTTAAGATTCTGCAAAGAGTTTTGGCATTTTTTTTCACCAAGAATTCTTCGTGAATTTCTGACTTTTCTTAACTAGTGTAATGTTGTTTTCGTGCAGATCCACTGTAATTCGAAGTGAGATACTTTTCACACATTTTCGTGTGATAAAATGTCCTGTGCGATTCCCATGATTTATCACTCCTGGGGAAGTAATGAATTTTTATGACAAAATTTGTGTGGTACTCATTTCAAAATAATGCGATGATTCCAGATTTATCTCTAAACGGTGCGACGCATATTGCACAAAGTTATGATACCTTGAAGTATCGCTCAAGAAAGTGATGGTCATCACGAAAATAAGCAATAAATTTAATGTTGTTCTTTTTCTGCGATGACCATCACACCATCGTGCAATATTTCTGTATCACAGAAAACGTGCAGTCAGTATCACACTCTGATTTACAATGGATGTTAGTCCTCGTTAATGTTCACGATTTTTCGTAAATTTGCACGATTTCCTTGTAAATTTTCAGGATTTTTCATGATGAGCGGACAGACGCGAAACTTTTTGATCACTGAAGTAATAGGCTTCGCTAATCGCTCAGCCGAACATAATTCAGAACGACCACCCTTGTAAGCGTAACGACGCGTCCTACGAACAAAGTTCGATCTCCCGGCGCGCCGTTCAACATTGTCCGATCTCCGGGCGCGCCGTTCAACAAAGTTCGATCTCCTGGCGCGCCGTTCAACGCTGTCCGATCTCCTTTTCGGGGTTTGCAGCGAGGCGGAAGTTTAAACGCCTTGTACGTCTGTTCGTCAAGATCATAGCATTTTCTTATTGGTCCAATGTGTTGCGCAATCTTTGAGGAACACATAGAATTTATTAGTTTCCTTTTAAGTGAACTATCAACGAAGATATCACGGCTTGAAGCCTACGGTGCAGATGAAAGCTGAAAAAGAGATCGGACAGCGTTGAACGGCGCGCCAGGAGATCGAACTTTGTTGAAAGGCGCGCCCGGAGATCGGACAGTGTTGAACGGCGCGCCGGGAGATCGAACTTTGTTAGTAGGACGCGTCGGTAAGCTTTTACACGATTAAAGTTTTTCGCTGGTCTCAAAAGTTAACCATAGATTTACCACAAGTCCAATGGAAAGTTTTTTCCGTGAAAGTTATGAGTTTGCTCCATTACTAGACCGAAAGGGGGATCCATGTGCATTTAAGAGGGAGATTCTCCTAGTTTAGGATTTTTCTCGCTCCATGTAAATGCAATTTTGCTGTCTCCTAGCTTCAGAGAGAATGCAGTCTCTGGCGGACGGCGTGAGTGCGGAAGCCTGCGCTGCGTCCAGCCCTCTGCTCCTGTTCTACGCCGCTGCCCTGAACTCTATCTTTCAGGACCGTGATGCACAGAAGCGGTGCGCCTGTGAAACAAGTGAGTGAGATGGGAATCCGTCTAGGTCGAACTTGAGTTCAAGGCGAGAGAGACTGAAAGTCACTAGGCGCACATTAAAGAAGGAGGGGGGGGG